CCGTTTTTGTAGTTTTTGTATCCGACCCGTTTTTGTATCATGAAAGTTTCTTGAAAAGTAACAAACATCAATAAAAATAATAGAAACTAAAAATGGTAACTTACGTTAAACAATATTAATAAAAATAATAGATATGAATAATATAAATATCTAAAAATCTAGGAAATTCTAACGCTCAAAAAATTTCTATAAGGTTAAACAAAATAAATAAAAATATTAAAGGTTGAACGAATCAAAAATCAGTCTGAATCACTATCTTCTGCTCCATTAGAGTTATTTAGATAGATAGATAGATCCATCATTAGTAGTTGTCCAGTTGTTTATAAGTTTTGACTTTGATTTGAAGTCCTTTATTAAATCCTGAGACACTTCAATAACTGTGTATGTATCTAAAAGCTGTATATCATTGATCAGGCATATAAAGCTTTTTATCTTTGTCCGTCTTTCAATTAAAGCGTGCATACTGTCGCCTTCACTTTGTGAATGACCCACTATTAGAAAGCGATGGCTAATAGCTATACTACACTTTAAACTACCTAACATATACATTAAGAAATAAATCCTATTTCTATGTTGGCCTCCACAGTTGTCTGACTAAAACCGGTAATCATTGACACCTTCACCACCCGTATCTTCTATAAACTTAAAATGATAGTTGGAAATTTCAATTGCACCTCTCTTTGCTGTCTGTTGATACCATCAAAAGCAATCACCTTGGCGAGATCCCAGAATGAATATCGTGAAATTATACAAATAATGTTTCCGTTTATAATAAAAAGTACTCACGCTCTCGTGAGGTACATACATTAAGACACTTTTGAAGATCAGATGCTGATGTAAGGATTTCATTATTTTGTAACGCTGATTTTTTATCTTTTGTTTTAATTTTTCTAGCTTTCTCTTTTTTTAAAATGCTCTTCATGCTTTTCTTTATCTGTCTGTAGAACTTGCTTGTTATTTTCATAAATGTGACATTGTTCACAAAAATCTTTTTGGGTTTATAAAACCTATATATAGATATCTCGATATTGTCTCACGGTAGTCCATAAACCATTCGATTCATGAACAGTTTTGGGAAGGATAAAAAGCCTTCCAGATAATTTTTACTTGATTTTTGGCGAGTGTAATGTGACTCTACAGGAGAAAATGCTTCAACGTGATCTATAACACTGTGAACGTCATCGGATGGATTATAATATGTTCATCCAAAGACCACGCTGATCTGATTTAATAAATCCATTACCTTTATCGGACTTTTCTAAAGCTGTATAAGCAAAATCAAAACTAATAGAAAGAGTTCTCAAGAACATAGTTTTGCAAACCGATATTTTTGTGGTCTCAATATTATCTCCTTCACTCCTTTTTATCGACAATATTTTTCTCTTTTTTCCAGCTTTTACAGCATATCTTGCCAAAAAACCCATTGTCTTGAGTGGTCCAATAATCCAAAACATTCTGTTAATTTCTCACTGCATTTTTTCCATAAGTTGAGGGGCAAGAAGTTTTCATAATTCTCGTAGCATGAACTCTTCCGTTTCTACTGACATATTCCAATCCTCTATTAAGCTTATATTTCCTCTCCTTATCCATACATTTTTTATGAAAACTCTTAGCCTTTCTTTATCTTTTTTCGCAATGGAAATGCGCTTTTGGCGTTATTGGACGATGAGTATGTGATATCATTAATGTCAGAAATTAACAGGAGATGAGTCAAAAGAATTATACGGCGATGGTACTGGAGTAATATCACAATAATTTTCTATAATGCTATTCTGGATGGGCGAATTACCTGGAGTGTTCTCTATGACTGATGGCGATCGATCTCCTTTTTGAGTTCAGTTATCAACAATCGATACCCAAGGCGAAGAGCAAAGAATAATATAATCTAGGAATAATATGTAAGCATTAGAAGGGATATTCTGCGATACTTCCTTGCTATCATTCTAATCAATATCATCAAGTATTGATAGCTCCTCTTCCATAAATTTGCAATTTGCATCCGGTGGCAATGGAGACTCTAAAACAAACAACAATTAAAAACACAAGAATTCATATTTTTATATTTAACGTGCCAATATCAAGATATAAAATTTATAACACATAAAAAAATATATTATACCACAATTAAAACAAATATATCAAAAATTTAATTAGTACATTATTATAGCCAGATAAGTCAAGTGTCTTCTTTATAAAGTTTGTTCGTTGTAAACAGGTGTAAATATAGTTGTATCAGTATACGGCGTACTAAGCGACGTGTAACAATTATCAAACAAAAATGGCAAAATCACACTATATGTAACATAAATAAAGTATATCAATGTAACTTACCATATTCAGCCCTGTTTTGCATTATATCACCGATTCCTGAGATATTGCTAATTGTATCATTAGTATTATTCACCTTATTATTGAGAAAATTAAAAAAATTTCGCGCCCTCGCCGTCATTTGTCGTATACTGAGCCATAATAAACTTGTATCAATGCGTCCCTCCTTACGCCCCGCGAACACTGATACAATGTTATTTGGATCAGTATACAATGTACGATTTTAACTGATGTTGAAATTGATTTAGTATACGTGAAATTATCTCGGTAATTATAGGTCTTTTTAAAAAAAAATAACACTAACATTAAGATCATGGTTTATTATGTACTTTTGTATAAAAAAACAAAATACCTAAATTTGTTAGATGACTCAGTATACTTAGGAGGTATCGATTTAAAGGTTATATATTAAACTACTCCGAAACGGTTGGCCGTTTATTAACTGTGTGTATATTAAGTTTTGGGCGTTTTTAAATTTTTAAAAATAATTTATATAAATAATAAATACATAGACGACTCATTGGTCTAGTGGTTAGTACCCCTGACTGCGAATCCATGGGTCCCGGGTTCGATCCCCGGCTGAGACGAACATCGATGTGATGAGCATTTGGTGTTGTGCTTAGGTCTTGGGTGTTTAAATATGTATTTATATGTCTATCTATCTATAATATGTATGTATATCCGTTGCCTAGTACCCATAACACAAGCTTCACCAGCTTAGCATGGGACTAGGTCAATTGGTGTGAATTGTCTTAAAAAAAAAATATATAAACCTTAATTTCTACTCTTCTTCCATCAAACACCATTTATAGCTATATTAGTACTGTTATAATCTTCAACTCGATATAAATAATTTATGGTAAAACAACGGGTCAGTTGGTAAAATATACAATCAAAGCCGGAGATATCTTTATATATATAATTCTACTGTACGTGTGTATGTTACTGAACTCCTCTTAAATATTTGGGAATTTTTCTTAGGATTTGAATGATGGTTTAGATTCACAAGCAGAATTTTTGTGTGTTTATGTGATGAGTAGATTTTTTTTGTATGAACACGGTACAGGACAACGTCTGTCGGATCCGCTAGTATAATATAGAAATTTATAATATATATAAACGTTCTTATTTCATATGAACAGATAATATATATTATTAGAAAACGTACATATACCTATAGTATAAATGATCACAAAACAGATACAGAAATCCAGGCTCTGACTTAAAAGGTTGTAGCGCCGCTGATTTCAATGCTATAATGATAAATAGATATAGATGAGCTGTATTGGCTTAGTACTTAAAGTGTTCGATACTCATCCCTGAGGTCGTAGGTTCGAACACCGGCTGTGCCATTGGACTTTCTTTCTACGTGCGCATTTAACATTCACTCGAACGATGAAGGAAAACATCGTGAGGATACCCAAAAAGTCGACGGCGTGTTTGACACAGGAACCTACTTGCCTATGAGATTGATAGATAATCATAAAAACAGAAATGTGACGTCCAGACCTAAAAAGGTTGTAGCGCCACTGATTTATTTCATAATGATACATAGTATCGAAGAATTTAACTTTAGTCGAATAGTTTCTTACTTAGCAAATTTAATTATATCCCAAGAACGAATATAATATATAATACGAAGCAGTTTCACTATTTTCTATAGTTTTAGATTTTGTACTGCAATAAAGGCGCGGCATGACTAAAGACAACTTCTACGCACCTGTCCATGCGTAGGCGCATCCCTTATAATTAACCCTTCTTATGGGAATAAATGTATTACGATATGTAGCAACCAATTACACCAAGCACATACTAGATATAAAAGTTTATATTACTCATTAATGAAATAAAATTTCCAAAAGTTTAATGGGGCCGTATAGCGCCAACGCGTTTACAGCCACCATTCTGCCTAACGACTTCTAAATAGATCTGAGGAGATCTTGTCTTCCGAACAAGGCAATGGACAGGATAATTATGCGTAACAACGTGCAACAATAGCGGCGCGCGCGCAGTGCGTCTCTACTCTATGGCATAATAAGTGTCGGCGTATTTTGATCTGTGCGCAACAAGTAGCTGATCCGATAGATATACTTCATAAGTCGACTAGCGATTAAGGGTTATAAGAGAAATTAATTCTTGATTTAGATCAATTATAATAAGTTGTTTTTATTCTGAGAACATGATTATAATAGGACTTAAACAAAACCTTAATTTAATTATAGCTTTTTTTGTACTGTAAAAAATTACTGAAACTATCTCTACCCAAAAATAAAATTAAAATAATTGTTACATAAGTAATATTCTATGTATTACCGTATTGATGAGATTTTCAATTAAAACATAAACAACCTAAGAATGGCTAAAATTACTATCAAGTACCTACATAATTTGTTAAAATAATATTATTTTAAAACCTTTAACTAAAAAATCAATACGATCATTAGAACACAAACTTAGCAAACTTTTTTTGACGTTAACGATCAGTTTATGAAACAGGGTCTGCAACGTGCGGGGAGGGTCGGCCCGTGCGCTGCGCGTGCGGCGGCCCGCGCCCCACCGCCGCGTGCGCTACTTAGAGTCGGGGGTGCACGCCACCTCCGCCAATCCACTGACGACCACCGCGGCACGCACACGTGCGCTCGATACTCTCTCTACACTTCGATATTTACGCGATGCCCATGGCGACGATACACGCTTACCAAAATCTCGGTGTTAATCAGAAACTTTCTCAGCTTCAAAACTCGGCGCAAAGACGACTTGCCCCAGCTCCAGACGCAGGAAGATGTAAGAAGAAAACCTATCTTCAACAAACATACCCTGCTCCACCTGCCTCAGTAGCACGGCGCAACGCAAGAGAGCGGAATAGAGTTAAGCAAGTTAACAATGGATTTGCGGCACTTCGTCAACACATACCATCAGCTGTTTCAGCAGCCCTAGCTGGCGGCAGAGGATCTTCCCGAAAACTGAGCAAAGTTGACACCCTTCGGCTTGCAGTTGAATACATCAGAAGCTTGAAAAAGTTACTGGACGATAGCGACGAAGGCTGCACAGAAACACAAATGAGCATAGGATTAAATAATAGTGGACCGCAGACACCACCTTCCTCCGAAGAGTCTCTGTCTCCGGCACCATCCCTAATATCAGAAAGTTCAGCTAGTGCTAATTGTCATGAGACCTATGATTCTTACGAACCCATGAGCCCCGAAGATGAAGAGCTTCTTGATGTTATATCGTGGTGGCAACAACAGTGAACTAAGGTAACAATTTATTTTAATAATAATATTAAAATTTTAAGCATAATATAATATTTTTCGAAGCTAAATGATAGATTAACCTTGACATCAGTACTGAAATTGTTATCAGTTTTTGTCCCGACTATGTTTACATTTGTTATCAGTGATTTCAACGAAGCGCTCTAAAACGCGGTGTCCTTATAAATTCAAAAAGTCCCGCAGGTATCTCAATTTTTTATTGCCAATAAAGTTGCCGACTAAGCTTTTTGCTGTATCGTTAGTCACGGTTACCTACCGGGTCAGGTCTGTTCCTTTATATTGCACAAATTCAATAGATTTGGGACCGTGTACCTTGCGAGCCAAAAAGTAAACACATATAGGTATCTATTATGCTAACGCATTGAACCATCGCCATAGACCTTTATCTATTCATTGTCACGATCACATATTATACACAATAGGGTGTCTCTGACAAAGACTTAAAAATATCGCTCCGGAATTTACTGCCGCATATTATTGGTAATAAAGTTTAGACTATTATCTTGTTTAAAATTAAACTTAATAGGCTAGACAAAACCCGCATGTCTTCATAATTTCAATGACCAAACAGCAATTACATCTAACAACGTTGTGGTTCGCCCCGCATATAGTGGGAAAATTGCACATAAAAAGTGGTGTATTCTAATAACAAGTGGTCGCATATGATTGCTCTGATTTGCTACAAGTGGAAACAGGTTATGTGCACCTCATCTTTGCCGATTTATCTTAAATCAATAAGGTGCATCCGGTCAGCGACTTACTCCGCCACATGACCCGGTCCACTCACAAAATGCAGGGGCTTCGCGAAATTGCGTCCCGCAAAAAGTCAGCACCTCTTGTAGCCCATTAATTTCGTGTACCGGAAGACGAAATCTTAAGAGGAAATATACGATAGGGAAGCACACGTGTTACAATATTTGCTAAATCCCGAGCAAACATCTGGTGATAAACCAGTTGAGTGGAACTTATGTGGATTTTATAGCGACAATAAAATGTGCATTTCTGCTTTTTCCTCTTCAATTTATTAACGTTCTTTCTCCTTTTTTCAGATACTCATGTTGCCGGTGATCAAAGTGAAGGCAATGAGCCGCTATTGGTTGTGAAAAAATGATGATATAAGAAGAAACTGAGCGTCGGAGCGCAAGGGACTCCGAGTGAACCTCTAATTAAGCGCAATCAGTGTATTCCTAATGAGAGGGGATAATGGTAGACTATAACGACCCCATCGATGCATTCCGCCGAGCGAACGAACGACTGAAGACTCCGCTTACATTTCATACATGTATGGAATCGCAGCATTAAGACTGAAATATTCCTTGTTCCATAGAAGCATTTAGTTTAATTGTAAAGACTTATTAAACGCTGTGCCTTTAGCTAGCCTTAGCATTACTTCCAATAAGAATTACTTTAATGTTACGTTTTAATATTCTATCTAGTCATTAGTTTTAAGTATATTGTACGTTGTATAGATATTAGACATTGTTTAAATAAACATTGTGCCTTTTTGGCTGAAATGATTTCGAAGTTTTCGTTACACGCCTGGATAAGGTAAAGTTATAGTAGATTTGTAAATATTAACTGTAGTTCTCTAGCACCTAAGGATACAAGATTCCTAATAATATAAAGCTGTAGCAGAAAGCTGTAAAAAGTATTTCCGTCGGAAAAAATAAAATTTATATTTCAAACTTTTGTGTTTTATTGTTTTCAACTACAAAGGGTTTAAAGCCAGCTTTAAAAATTAAGTACCTAATATTAAAATGCATATTTTAAATTTGTAACTTTAAAGAAGTGACTTAGTAATAACTGCAATAAAAGAGTATATTAATAGTAGTGTGGAAAAAGCATAGTTTTATCATTAATTCGAATATTTTACTTAGAAGAATAAAAGACGTTCAAAAGATCTTTTTCTATGGCTATTTCAACTTAAATAAGTCGTTGACGTTAGCATTAATTGTTGCAGACACACCTTTTAAAAAGGCGATTTCATTCATAAATGCATTCTTCAGAGAAATCTTATGATTAAAGTTGACACATCCGAAGGTCAACATCAACAAATATAAAAACAATTGATTGCTTTAAACGCAAGAGATCCAATAAATTGTATAAGTTTTTTGATTGGATTTTGTCAAGTATTTCTGTGACGCAAATGGATTTATGATATTAGTAATTCAATTTTACTGTGTTTTTTTACCAAAACCTCTGATTATTTTTGTTTGAAATTTGAAGAGTCTATGTAAAATCCATAAACATAACATTTATTACTAACAAAAATACACACACATAAACACACAAAATAACAATAATCAAAGAAAAAAAAAAAATTAAAAATATAATGAGAAAAATGAAAAAAAAAATCCCCTTTCCCATTCGGTTCGTTTCAATGTGTGTGTGTGCTGTGGCTGTAATTGGCCCTGGCTCAGCATTAAATAACAACAATACATTTAATAAACATTGTTTGTATCGAATAATTTAATAAATATCAATTAAATAATTTCTCATTAGTATGATTTTACATACATTTACAATCTACATACTTAAATGTTAAGCTGAAAGTTTTAGACATTAGATAATTTCCGGTTAGGCCATTAGTGTGTTATAAATATCCCTATTAAACAGTCATAATTTTTCCAATAGAAAATCGCTCACTGCCGCCCATCTAATTATAACTAACTAGAATAATAAATTAGAATAGAAATTTTAATAAATACTTTATTAGAGCGGCACAAAAATGGGTAGGTACAAGTAATTTTTCAGTTTGAAATTGGAACACAATCGGCTCCCGTTGCCGTTCTTCACTATATTTTCCTTTAGTATTCCGCTATATCTGTGGAATATGACTAGCTTCCTCTATTATCTTTATCTAAGGACCTATTATCTATAGCAAACCATGACACGTATTTTATACTCAAACGTATATGCATAAGGAACAAATTTTTCATTCCAAAACTAAATTGTACACGTGCTACTCAGATTTCGCTCGCAAATAATATTTGATATAACATTTAATTTGAAGTTTCGTTACGCCCATCGACGTCGAATTGCAATAGTAATTTTTGATAATGGAAGGGAAGAACGCGATTATGGGTTGATATTTCCGTTGGTACTAATTGTTTAAGAACGGGAAATTCTAGTGAGCTTGGAACACCTGTGATATTCGCGAATAGTTTGTCAGAACATGCCCTTCATTAATTCTTCTTATTAATTGTTTACTATGCGTTAATGCATCCGTTTGGATCAAGTTTTTACGATTAAGTATGTAGACAATTATTCTTCAGTGCTATTTATAATTGACGAGTTTTGACGGGCATGTTGTGCATACCGCAGCCCAGTTTTTGTTGGATAATTATTTTAAGTTTCATTTATTTTTGATTTATTGATTTGACTTTTGATTTACGATGATGTGTTAAACGCCTTAACAGACATATTTCATGTTTCTTTTTATATTATAATACATATATCTATTGAATCGACATTTATTTCATACGGATCCGTTGAGAATAACTTAGGGACTCAGCTAAAAGCTGGAAAACGTTTCGTCACTGTTGTTTTAAGACTTAAATCATACGAGAATTGATTAAACGTGAATGTATAAAGGTTGTGTTATAAATTCCTTACCGAAAACATACTCCAAAATCGAGATTACTCCATAGACCGAGGCTGCTTGATTGTATTCAAAATTGATCTTCTGTTTTTGAAGTCGGTTAAAAAGAGATAATCATATTTTCATTCAGTTTATTTTTAGATGTCCGTCTACACTTAGGTTATTATAAAGTCGTGATTAAAAAAATATATAAAGTTCAATCTATAGATTATTATTTTTTAAACATTACAAAGCCTAATCTGATATCACTGTATTAGACATTACAAAAACCTCCAGTAAGTTCGCGAAGTATGAAGGCTGGCAATAAGCTGCACGCCGCGCGCGAGCTTTGAATTCGGAAGCGTTCGGCAATCGCTCGGCTCCGCTCGTGCGTAGCCGGCACGCGACGGGCGCGCGCAAGCTTCGCAGCTGCTGAGCGCTGACCGCTTGCGCAGAACCGATTGCTTTTCGAAATGCGCATGTAATTAACTTGGGTTGGCTGTAATTTTAGAACTTGGGTTTTATTTACTTAGTTTACGAAAATATTTAAGTTTGTTTATAATATTTAATATACATAATATCTTGCATTTATGGCGTAAACTTTTGTATAACACGAACTACATTATCCCAATGGTCACTTAAGCTTATTATGTTTTATCTACATTATACAGAAGGCAAATCATTTGTCTATAAACAAAAAATATCAAGAAAAATGTTTTTCAATACGAGTTGCTTTTTGAGTGTTTTAATTATACTATTTTATATTATATTTACGGAAACAAGTACATAATACCCACTCGCCCACACACACACACACACGCACGCACACACACACAAACCACAAAACACACCAAATTTATTTTTACGCCTCCGTTTGCAATGTTTTCTTTAGGCACATACTTATTTTCTTCTATTGTATCTTATGACAATGACCTGATTGTACGTGTTCCGGTCCGGTGGTGGAGATGCTGGCTATCTGTCACTCAGGTCTCCTGTTACAGAGACCATTCTTTCACATACACTTCCAAATGTTATCATCTTAGTTTAATCATAATAACCTTGTATGTATATGTGAGAAAAGAAATAAAGATTATTTATTATTATTATTTTAGCCAATTTAAACCAGATTCTTTTGAATTTTTAAATTAAGAACATTTTTTTGTAAACCTTATCGAAAACAAACATGAAACCAATTTACTCCAATAGAGCGATGACCTTGAAAGTGTACAGTCGCAACCATAAATCGTATGACCCAATTCTGGCGTCACAACGCGCAGTTATTTTTAAATCATGAACAAGTTCAAGTGCCACTAAAACTGGATGGAAAAACACAAATTCCAGCTTTGTAGATCGCATGAATAATGCAATTAGTTAAACTCTAGAGACGATTGCTTTAAGT